GGGTTTAGGGGTTTAGGGTTTCTCTACGGAATGTTCTCTGAGCTTGGCAGGATCCTGGACAATCAGCTGACAGTTGGCGATAGGTTTGCGGCTTAGGACTGAAGGCTTGGAGTTAGGGGATCTGGTGCCGGGCTTGGGGGTGTTTTATTTTGCTCTTTCGACTCCCTGAACCCTAAAAAGGCCTATCTCATAGCCCTAAACCCGAAAAGCCCTAACTAATAGCCCTAAACCCTAAAACCCCTACAGCGTGAAAAGCCGTGAAGTGTAGTCTGGTATCCTGCCAGGAGAAACGTGGTCCCTCTAGATCCTTGGCCACACGGCGGCTTGGATTGATCCTGTGCTCTGGCAATCTTTTTCGTGACACCTGAGCGGTATAAGCTGCAACCCTGTAGGGGCCTTAATAAATAGGAAAAGGGTTTTGGGGCCCATTATACAATAACTATAACAAGGAACCCCCAAAATAGTAATGGTAATTATTTAGGCCCTATATTATATTTGGCGAACTGGTTGGGGAGATTCCTAAGCTCCAAACCGTTCTCACACTCAAAGCCCACATGAACTGCAGGTCAAAACAGGTGTGTGATGTGATCGAACTTCGAGATTCCACCCCAAAACATACGTTTCTGTACATAGCGGCCTGAACCAGAAGAATAGAGTCTTGGGGTATCGTGTCGTAAAGTATAACTCTATGGGAACTATGAGGGAATCTTGTTGCTGATGATTCAGACCTCTATATTATAAGAGTAAAGCATAACTAATACGGGAAATTCGCTAATTATTCAGACCTCTATATTCGATCCCAGACAGAACGGACCACCTCCAACCTACGGCCGCCTTCAACCTGAACCCTCGACCCCGCAACTCTGAGGTTTAGGGCTTGGGGTCTAAGCCTGACATCCACCCCGGAACCCTAAACCCTAAACCCTAAACCCTGATCAAAGGAGACTACAAGTGGGGAGTTTAGGGTGTATAGGGCTTCTCTAAGGTCTATAGACCTTCTATAAGGCTCCGGTAACGGCAGCTACCCACCTGAAAATGTCCTAGACCTAAGCCCTAAACCCAGCCCACTCCCCCCCAAAAAAAAATCTCGCAGACCCACCTCAAGTTCTTCGATGCTGGGGTCAAGGCCTTCTCAAACCTGGGGACACGGCGGCTTCTCAATGCGGGCTGGGGAGGGAGGGGGATTACTGTAGGGGCCTTAATTAGAATAAGGTTTTTTGGGCCCCTTGTACAGTAGTTTTGATAAGGAACCCCCAAAATAGTATAGGTAATTATTAAGGCCCCTGGGTTGCGGTTGGAGTCTTTGTGCAAAGGGTTTCGCGCGAAGGGTTCTCAAGGACTTGGGCTGCGGGGGTCTGGGGCTTAGGGGGAGTAGTGATTGTTTATAATGTAGGGGCCTTAAGTTTCCAATAGGGTTTTGGGGCCCATTCTACTATAATCATAAATAAGTATAATAATGACCACCACCCAAAAAAACACAAAAATAATGCAGGTAATTATTTAGGCCCCTATATTAGACCCCTCAACCCACTTAGGCCCCGATATATTTTTGCATATCATCTGGTGGGGATCTGCGGTGTTACGGCTTCGGGAGGACGTGTCTCTCCAACTGTAGGGTTTAGGGTTTATTTTAGGATCCTTAAGGGAGGGTGGCTCACGGGGGAGGCTCCTGGGGTATACCCCCCTTAGAACCCCCCAGAGAGCGCACTACCCCTTAAATCAGGAATATACCTTAAAATATAGGGGCCTTAACATTATAATTTAAGGTATATTCCTAAACCCTAAACCCTAAACCCTAAACCTTAAACCCTAAACCCTAAACCCTAAACCCTAAACCCTAAACCCTAAACTTAATTAAGGGGTATTGAGCTCTCTGGGCCCCTCCCTTAGGATTTTAAGGGACTCCGCACTTTGATGCCCTACCCTCTGCAGTTTGCAAAGGCATTTAGGGTTTAGGGTTTAGGGTTTAGGGGGCAACCTATCATTGCAAGGTCCCTGTCCGTTCGGCATTGAACAGGCTAAGGCATACGGTAGGGATGATGGTAAGAATGGAAGTTACGGCAGTGAAAGCAATGGCCATACAAAAGTCAATTTAGCAACCAATAGCTACCACAGAATCTCACTTCTATTCTTCTGTACTCTTGAGCTTTACAGCCCTCGACTATGAAAGTGTGAGGCCCTCTAAGCTCGTCCATGGAGAGCCCCTGACACCCGATCAGGAAAATGCGGACCCCAACAATAAACTGTAAGTTGTCGGATCTGGGGTTTCCGAAAATAGGGACCCTAATATAGTACCTAAATAGTAGGATCTTTATTATAAGGACCCCAAAATAAGGTACCCCTTACTTTCGGAAACTCCTAAATGTAGAGCCTGAAAGGACCGAAGCCCAGCTGAAAGAAACCGAAACATGAAGCCGCAAGAACATGCTGCAAGAAAAACACGCAAGACATAGGAGGACACCGGGAGGAGCTTAGGGTTTAGGAGGTAGGGTTTAGGGTTTAGGGTTTAGGGTTTAGGATTTAGGGTTTAGGGTTAGGCGTTTAATACCCAGACCACCGGGAGGATCCAAAAAATAGATCCCAATATTTGGGACCTTAACTACTAAAGGGTACTTTATAGGAACCCCTGAGTGATCTATTTTTTGGATCCTCCCGGTGGTCTGGGTAGGAGAACACAGTCCACATGATAGTCTATGCCTGAACGCTAGCTCCTGAGCCCCTAAGCCCCAAAACCCTGCATTCTAAGCCATGGAGTGCTCTATACCCACCAAACGAAGGAAGGAGGAGATGGTGTAGGGTTTAGGGCTTGCCCTATGTAGGGGCCTCAATAATTAAAAGAGGGTGTTGGGGCCCACTATACTATATTTATAATAAGGAACCCCCCCCCAAAAAAAAAAATAGTATCGGTAATTATTTAGGCCCCTACATTCAACCCGAAGACACCTGAAACCCTGCTGAGGGCCGAGGGGTTCTGGAATCTCTGGCTCGAAGCCCTAAATCCCTCATGCAGTTTTTGAGGGTTTAGGGTTTAGGGTTTAGGGTTGGGGAAAACAGCATGGAATGCTATAGAATCCCACGGGCAGGCCTAGAAAACCCTCATAAACCTCTCTGAGGCTCAAATCAGTGAGACCCTAAACCCTAAACCCTAAACCCTAGACCCACCCCTTGACTCCCACCCCAAGCCTACCCCCTAAACCCTAAATCCCCTGAGCCCTAAACCCTAAACCCTTAGGGTTTAGGGTTTAGGGTTTAGGGGTTTAGGGTTTAGGGTAAACCTTATCCCTAAAACTCTTTATAGTACCAAGCTTCCTACCTAACCCAAAGAACCCAATACCCCTCAATTAAGGAATATACCTTAAGCCATATTCTTAGGGCCCCTATGATTTAAGGTATATTCCTCATTCAAGGGGTATTGGGTTCTCATCTAAACCTTAACCCTAAAACTCTTTGTAGTATCTAGGTTCCTAAGTTCCCTTCCCAGACCACCGCGAGGATCCAGAAAATAGATCCCCTAAGGGGGTTCCTATAAAGTACCCTTCGTCGTTAGGGTCCCAAATTAGGGGATCTACTTTTGAGATCCTCCCGGTGGTCTGGGTTAAAGGAGCCCTATAAAGCCCCAAACCCTGAACCCCGGAAGGAACCCCATAAAACCCCAAACCCTCAAGGAACCCTAAGAAACCCTAAACCCTAAACCCCAAACCCTAAACTCTAAACTCTAAATCCCGTGAGCCCTAAACCCTGAACCCTAAACTCTTTATAGTACCTAGGTTCCTAACCCAGAGAACCCAATACCCCTTAATTAAGGAATACACCTTAAACAAATATCTTAGAGCCCCTATGGCTGACTTAAGGTATATTCCTTAATTGAGGGGTACTGGGTTCTCATGGAAGTTCCCTTAAAGGAGCCATGGGGGTCCGGCCAGGTGAGGCCCAGGACTTGCGAGGCCGTCGGCCGCTTGGTGACGTCCTTGTTGAGCCTCGGTAGGTTTTTTGGTTCCCTGTTGGGGCTCTAACCATAAACCCTAAACCCTAAAACGGTTTAGGGTTTAGGGTTTAGGATCATTTTCAATCCTTATTGGGTTTTCTTGTAACAAAATATAAACTTTGTATCCAACAAGGACCCAATTTTAGGTGTAGGGCTTGGCTCAGGGCCTAGGGGTTCTGTCGTTGTTGAGCCTCGGTAGGGTTTACTTGGAGGTCCATGGGTAGTTATAAGTAGGGTTATAAGTCCCCTAATATGGGACATAAGTATAGTTAGCTTACTTATAACTGTTTTAGGTGTAGGGCTTGGCTCAGAGCTTCCGAGAGAGCCCAATACCCCTTAATAAGGAATACACCTTAATTTATAGGGGCCTTAAAATTACAATTTAAGGTATATTCCTTAATTAGGGGTATTTGGGTTCTCTGGGTTAGTGGTTGTGTCCTTGTTGAGCCTCGGCGTCTTGAGTGGTTTGGGGTTCAGGAAGTTAA